TTTTCATGGTTGTAACTGACGTAAACAAGCTTTTTAGAATCTCTCTTCATGTTGGAAGAAAGATCAAGAATTGTTCTCCTTACAAAGGCTTCACTGTGCAAAATGGAGATGCAGTATGACAGGATGAAAAATAGGCTACATTCTTTTAACCTTGATGTATTTGTTTTGTATTTTAAGCTAAGTGGTATGAACTGCAAAGTATTTCATTTTTTTCAAGAGCCAAATCCAAAGTTTTTATATATTTTTGTGCTTGCAGAGCTTGGTTGTGTGTGCCTGCATGTCTTGCTATATTTGTGTGGACATTTTTGGGACATTAGGAAATCCTTGACATTTGCCATTTTGAGACCAAAATCCCATTTGTGGTTCAGGGATTAGGTTTAGGGTTAGGTGTGTAACTGTGAGGTTAGGTTTAGAGTAAGGGGTCAGGATTAGGCTGTAGAAATGAATGGAAGTCAGTGCAAGTCCTCACAAAGATAGTGAAAGAGTGTGTTTGCCTCACAATTAACAAATAAGGTTTTTGTCTCTACTGCAAACATTGAAACCTTCTGTTTGTTACCATATTATATTAACCTATCTTTTCAGTATTACTGCTGTATCTCATTGCATCACTAAGCTGGTCTTTAATTCAATTTGATCTTAATCTCCAGACACCAAATTTAGTCTCAAAGATCCAAAAGAACATTTTGACTTTAGCCTCAAAACTAACACAACTTTCAGGTAATTCAGAAAAAWTATATGTTTTTGTCAGTGTTAGGTTTAAGATTGACCATTTGTGGTACGCTTAGTTTCTTAAATTGACACAGAAAATTATTTCTTGGCTTTATTTCAAGTTTCCAGCACATGGCAGCCCCACCTCCGTAAGTCTGCCCCAGGGCAGCTGTGGCTACATTGTAGCGTACAGTGTGTGAATGTGTGTGTGAATGTGTGTGTGAATGGGTGAATTTAAGTGTAAAGTGCTTTAGAGTCTGTAGGGACTTGATAAAGAGCTATACAAGTTCAGTTTATTTACCATTTAAACACAATCTGCTTAAATACTCTGGGTTTTTAAAAAATTTAATATAATGAACACAAATTAGATGTTTATTTTGTCACTTCAGCTTGTTTTTACTGTAAATACTAAATTATCTAGTAATTTTAAAAAATAGGTTAAATGACTAAAAGACTTGCTGTTTTGTTGACTTTTTAAAGGAACCAACAAGGGTGTTTGTATGATTTGAGAAATGGAACAACACAATGATAAAATAAATGATTTTCTCACATTGCGTCCAGTGTATTTGTGTGTTTCTTCACTTTTGGAAGTTAAGGTTGTAGTACAGGATATCGTCCTATAGATGGCAGTATAGGATTATTTATTCATCAGCCCTATTTTCACTGAACACAATAAGGTTACTGAAACAGCTGCGAGGTTTATTTGATTAACTCAGTGTTTATTTGAAAACCATTAAAGCTAATGTGTGTTAAACAACTGCTTCAAATGATTAAATGATTTAAATTGAGAGAAAATGATGTTAGTTT